AGTCGAGGACGAAGCCGAAAGAGCATTGACTGTATCAAACAAACGCTGAAGGTCGCCCATTGTGAAGCTTCCTTCCACAGTGGCTTTCTCATATGCCGAATTGATGGCAGATTTTGGCAACTCCACAAGCTTGTTCACTGTCTCCCCAAACTCAAACACCTGAGCGCACCCCAAGAAGTCAAAGGCAATGGCATTGAGCTTGGATGTTGCCGAATTAGTCGTGGAGTTCTTGATGTGGTCATGGCACTTTTTGAAGGCATCAGGATTTGTCTCCTTCAAGACTTTTGCCTGATGAGCCAGAGCATGAGCACCCCCACGAGCATTCATTAAGCCAATGAAGTCGCCCACCGCCTTACCAGCACTAGCGACCACCGGGATACTCTTGATGTCAGGCGGTGTCCTGCATCAAGTTGAGACGCTCCAGCAATCTTGTTGTTCACACGGTTCTGCTTGGCTCTTAAGAGTGTCCTTTGGAGCAATTCCAGCATTCTGTAGAAAGTGCCACCGCTCTTGGTGATTTCCTCCCCACCCTTGAACATGCGAACCTCCTTGGGCACTAAGTTCAACTGGTTGGCAATGGTGACACGCAACTTCAATGGTTTTGATGTCCTCAGTGAGCTCAACCTCATAGTTGTTGCCATCGAACTTCACGATGATGGACTTGATGGTGTCCTCAATTCTTTCGGGCTCTGGGAGGCTCTCAACCGCGGTTTCTAACTAAGGCAACGAGATGGAGCTGTACGACGAGGACGTGCGAAAGCGATGACCTGCTGCCCGTGGTGGCGTTCACGGGGGCCATCGAGGGATTCCCTCTGGCCCCCCGGACGCCGCGCTCAAAGGTCGACAAAAAGATGAAATATTTACCAGTTTCAACCCAAGGGGGAACTAACGGGGAAATGATCAACTGGAAGAACGCATTTCCAAGACTGAATTCGCAAGGCTGCCCCTTGCATGTAGAACCTAGCATGGACTCACTGCCCCAGTCTGTTCATATTCTTTGTGGGGCAGATCGCTTGAAGAGGAAAAGCATGTTGATTGGAATTTCAATTCTGCATGCTGTTTGCGTGCGCTGAACAGTGCAGTAGGCCGAGCGAGCATCCTGGACGAAGATGCACCCACTCCATTGTTTCTTGGCAGTTTGGGTTTTGGGCTACTTGAGGCGTATGTTTGGGCTTCAAAGAGTCGCTCCATGTTGAAGGACCAGCTTTGGCCACTTGGGTGTCCGGATGTTTGTAAAGCCCAGTTAGAATAGTTGGATTTACCTTGAAGTATTCTTCCATGTTGCTCTTCACCACGTAGAACTGCCCTCCCTTCCCCTTCCACTCAACTGCGTCGTGCAGTGAGATCCAGAGCTGAACGGATTCAACATAGTCCCGGATGCTGTTCCTGCATCTCGTGAGTTGAGCCATCAGCTCTCCGCCGGAGTTTGGGTTTCTTGTTGGGTTTGGCAAAGAACACCAGGTCCGTCACGATGAGGTAGTTCCCTCTCTGTAATTGCCCACGAGGGTACTCACTGCCGCCTCAGCTTCTTTGCAGGCCGTTTTCACGAGTGTCTTGTGTTCGGCCTCAATCACTCCTCGCAAAAGCACGATGAGCGATGCTGGAGAAATGAAGTTCCAAGTCTCCAGGATGTTGAAGCGGGCGCAGTAGAATGCATAGAGCGGTGTCCGTGCTTCCCACCCTGCATTGACGTAGTGAGCGAATCCTTCAGACATGAAGTTTGCCGGCACGCCTTCGCCGGAGGACAAAAGTCCCAACACGTGGGTAAGCCGCCTCACGTATGATTCCCATGCAGATGGGAACTTTGCCTCAATCAGTTCCGGCAACCCAGGAGCAGGTTCGAGCACGCCTTTGCTGTTTGTCGTCCCAAGCACCCTGAACTCCTTCATCTCCGTGAACCTGGACGCCTGAATGTTCATCCTGACAATCCTTTGGGCAATCCCGTCAGGGTTAACGGGAAGCTGCCACCGGTCATCCAACTCACCCTCAATTCTGGACAGAAGGATCAAGGAGTTCTTGGGGTCCTGCTCTTGCGTAGTGGCCTTGCGCGGGCATAGGTTTCGCCTCAGCGTCACCGTTGCCTTCGGTCGAGGTTTTGGCTTCGGGCGTGCCTTCCCTCTCGGCCCGACTCGCCGATCCGATTTGGACATCCCTCGGGTTCTTGGTGTCATAGCAGAATTGTTCAACAGCCCTTGGGGTCGTGTTGAGCTCTTTCTCGGTCTTGCTCAAGAAGTCAGTAAACTGATCCCTTCAACCCCCCCATTTTTTGTTGAGAAAAACACCCGAAACAAAATGGCCATACGGGGTGTCAGGTTGTGCATAGAGGGGGGCTGGCTTAGAGGTTGCGGGTAGTTGGGTGAGGAAAATGCATCTCCCCCCCAAAACCCTAGCCAGCCCCTTGCGAAATGCCCAACAAAAGGGAATGGAATTTGCGTGTTCCATGGGTTTCTTGTTTTTCACTCCTCTACAGGGGTTGCGAATTAGAAGAAACAAGCAGTTGCTTTCCTCATTAGATTCCATTCAAGTCCTATTTCAAAGCCTACTTGGCTTCCTCAATTCTAATTCGAAACCCGGTGTTTACTTGAATTGAACCATGTTGGGAACTTAAAGCGTTGCTCTTCCTCACTTTCATATTGGACCGGCAAATTCGCTGGATTGTTCGGATTATAATTGGATGAAGATGCAGGACCATGTCTGGGAGAATGCTCAGGTGACTCATCATTGTCATCTGGCTTCTTCTTCTTCTTCCCAGTCTTCTGCTTCTTTGATGGACTGCCGGTTGTTTCTTCTTGCACAAGTGTTGGCAGTTCAAAATCTTCATCTTGTTCTTCTGCTTCGGGATTTGTAAGAATCGCAGGTGGTGAAGGTACCACGACAGTCGGAAGAATTGGTTGAGATGATTGCGACTGTGACGGCAAAGAGACATCGCCCCCCAGTCGATTGAGTCCACCTGAGGATGAAATGGATTGCTTTTGCTGTTTAAGCGCTGCATCTCCTCCGCCAGGCTTGTCGTGTGGCGGTAGTGGAGGATCCACCGGACTGTGGTGACACACTGCGTGGTGCTGGCGGCATGGGATGATCAGGCTGATGTGGAGGATCCGGAGGAGGATCTGACATGCTCTCGTCCGGAGGTGTTGGAGGTCTTGGATCAGGCATGGGATGGTCCGGTTGATCAGGTGGTTGCTGCGTGTCAGGTTGCTGAGGTGCATCCGTTGGATCCAATGGATCCGTCTCGATGGGCATCGGCCGGCGCATCGGTGAACGACTGATGAACGGATGAAAACTTTAGAGCCTCCGGCTCAGTCCGCCGACATTGTCCTCTCCCTTTTCTCCTGCTTCCTCTCTCCCTTGTCTCCCTGGTGTGTTCTGTCGTCCTCTCTCCCTCCCTCCGCTCCCCATCCTCCCCATCCCCCGAAGCCACTCTCTCCCCAATCTCCCTCTCTCGTATGTGTGCATGTATGCATGCATGTATGTATGTATGTATGTAATGTATGCATGTATGTAATGTAATGTAATGTAATGTAATGTATGTATGTAATGTATGTATGTATGTAATGTATGGATGTATGTATGTATGTAATTAATGTAATGTATGTATGTATGTAATGTAATGCAATGCAATGTAATGTAATGTAATGTAATGTAATGTAAGTATGTATGTAATATGTATGTATGTATGTATGTATGTATGTATGTATGTATGTATGTATGTATGTATGTATGTATGTATGTATGTATGTATGTATGTAATGTATGTATGTATGTATGTATGTATGTATGTATGTATGTATGTATGTATGTATGTATGTATGTATGTATGTATGTATGTATGTATGTATGTATGTATGTATGTATGTATGTATGTATGTATGTATGTATGTATGTATGTATGTATGTATGTATGTATGTATGTATGTATGTAATGTAATGTATGTAATGTATGTAATGTATGTAATGTATGTAATGTATGTATGTATGTATGTATGTATGTATGTATGTATGTATGTATGTATGTATGTATGTATGTATGTATGTATGTATGTATGTATGTATGTATGTATGTATGTATGTATGTATGTATGTATGTATGTATGTATGTATGTATGTATGTATGTATGTATGTATGTATGTATGTATGTATGTAATGTATGTATGTATGTATGTATGTATGTATGTATGTATGTATGTATGTATGTATGTATGTATGTATGTATGTATGTATGTATGTATGTATGTATGTATGTATGTATGTATGTATGTATGTATGTATGTATGTATGTATGTAATGTATGTAATGTATGTATGTATGTATGTATGTATGTATGTATGTATGTATGTATGTATGTATGTATGTATGTATGTATGTATGTATGTATGTATGTATGTATGTAATGTATGTATGTATGTATGTATGTATGTATGTATGTATGTATGTATGTATGTATGTATGTAATGTAATGTAATGTAACGTAATGTAATGTAATGCAATGTAATGTAATGTATGTATGTATGTAATGTATGTATGTAGGTCTGTCTGTCTGTATGTATGTCTGTATGTATGCATGTATGTATGTATCCTTGCACTTCCCCTTTGCTCCCCAGTATTTCCCGCAAAATACACGGGTTTTTCCGCGTTTTCGCAAAGAGGATGTCCAAAAACACAGAGTTTTGCCAGATTTTCGGCAAAAGGATGCAGGAAGCCCAAGCCAGCAAAAAAGCCGGCAGGGGGAATCGAGCCTGGGACCCCTGTTTTGCGACACCTCCCCGAAGACTACATTTAGTGGAACGTCATCAAATTGCCGCGCGGTACGTGGGCCCCCCCCCCCCCCCCAAAAAAAAAACCTACGTAATAGACGTCGGGCGGGGGGGGGGTTAGGGGGGGGGTTATCCTCTATCCTCTCTTAGGTGTCCGACACGCCGAGCAATGTCGGCGGATATATATATATATATATTTTTTGTGGATCCCATTTTAGTGAACAACCGGTTCCTGGACTTCGGCCATGGCACCCAAGCGAGACACCGATCAGGTTCCAGCATATTTTTTTTGGTTTGCCCAAGGTGGGTGTATCTTTTTTCAGGGGACCCCCCCCAAGAAAAAAGGAAGAAGACGAACACACGGGAAAAAGCGGTGGAGAACCACCGGAAAAAGGGGTACCCTCAAAAAGAGACACGGCCAGGCATGTGCTTCTGGGAATTTGGAAGGGGTTGTTTCGAGACAGGGACATGTTACACAAACGGCATGCGAAAGGGGCCCTCGGCACGTAGACCCTTTCGTCATTTGTTGGGTGAGTTTGGGAAACCAATTCGGGTCTTGACAATTCCAAACAACTCCAGATTGCATACAGCAAACGACATGCTCAGTATTCAACAAACCACCCCTTTCGTTTGACGACATCTTGGTTTTCACTCGATCAAGTATCGCCGGGGTTTCCGCTTCCGCTGATGGCTGGGCTTCGCACGCGTGCCAGGCGCAGTCCGTGGGACGGCTCATGGGCATCAGCTTGGGCATCAACTCGGTGACCCTGAACTGCGCGGAAGCCTCGGCGAGTGAAAACTCGGAAAACTCGGAAGGCGATCGGGTCATTGAGCATGAGTCACAGCCATAACAAAGGGAACCCTGGATTAAGCAGATCTCAAAAGCCTGTAAGTTTGTCGTGCCCTGGTGGAAACATTGCGTTTTTAGGGATATGATACGAAAACATTGCGTTTCCCTGAAACACATTGTGTTTTCAGCGCGATGGATACTGTTCAGGCCTGCCTGAAACGACCATGATTGCACAGTCCAAACGGGCATACCTTTCAAACATGGGCACTGCAGCACTGGAGAAGGCTTGTGTTGGGGGTATATGTTCCGGCATAGCCCATGTATGACCCGCGAATGCTCCATTGCTACAAGAAAGGTCGATGCTGCAGGCCCTGCAACGGGAGTTCGGAACGTTATGTTGCATGTGTAACCTGAACATGGTAGGTGTTTTGGGAGAAAAAAACAAACGCCGAGCACGACATTTTTCGAAGGCTTTGGCGGGGGAAAGTTGGGGACTCCGTAGAAATGAGGAGAGAACCCGTGGAATTCCCGTGGCAAGCCGTGGTGTTTCCACCAAAACCCGTGGCTACCCCGTGGCTAACCCGTGAGAAAAATATGGGTTGCGGGGGCCCCCAACCGACAAGTATCAGTGAGGTGTCTGTTTCCCTTTTGACGCTGCCACTCAAATTTGGTACACGTGGCAGGTGTCCTGTCCTAACTTTGCAAAAGCAGGCACCTTCTTGCGCTTCCTCTCGGGTTGTCTGAAGGGTTCTCGGGCGTGGCCTAGCTAGCTCCTTCAAGGATTGGAAAAAGGAGGGTTTTTCTTCGAACAATGAGGTCGGCCGAGTAAATTATTGTTGCAGATGCAGTTGCGTTTGCACAGGCTTGTCTTTTGAAAGTATATGTATTTCCTGTAAATCACTCAATCGGAAAACCTTGTGTTTCCAGAGAGAGCAAAGTGTTTTTTGGGTATGACATTTTTAGAGGCTTTTAGGTCTCCTGGCTGATCCGTAGGGGTAGCCCCTTTTTAGTGGGGACTCGGGACTCATCACTTTTGTCCTTTTCATAGAACCGGTTTGGGGATCATTGAGCAACTAGGGTGTCCGATATGTTTTGGGTTCAGACTATCCCACAATAAGGAGAAAGTTCTATCCGATGTGGCGATTCTATGTTTAGGGGTTAGACGACGCTGAAATGCGCGCTGGACAGACAAACCTATGTATATAAATGATGTCCACCCTGAATTGGGATTTGCTCCCATTTTCATGGTTTGGCGGTTTGATTGCTCACTTTCGGGGCGATGTTTGAAGAAGGTCTCCTTGTGGCGGGTAGGTTATATAGTGATGCTTCTTGGTTGAAACTATAGCTCAACCCCTGACCCCCTGCGACATCCTATGTAAGCCCCCCCCCCAGGCGTTTGCACGGTGGCGTTGTGGCGGGCAATCTGGGTCTTCGCTTTTTCAACCACTGCGCGTCTGCCAATTTCCTACCGCATGATTAGTTCCCAATAGGTAAAAGGAGAGACCCATGGCTGACTTTGACACCCCCAAAACAGTGGAGCCCAACACCCCAGGTGGCCATTTTGGCGGTGGTTCTGCTACCTGGTTTGGTTGGGGTGGGGTCTATAGCAAGGCTTATATAAGTTGGTAGAACTGAAAGTCTCTGGCGCTGCTCAGTGCAAATCAGAACCCTGAGGAAGAAAAAACAAAAAACAACAACACTAAGGATTTCGACGCCATCGCGCGGAAGCAGCGATCACCGGTGACGCAGGCGCTTTTGTCTCGGGGAACAATGTGGCGGAAGCCACCCAAAGCCCAGCGATCCGTCTCAGACACGGCTGGTTCCTTCCACACCGAAAAACCCGGGGAAAGCACACAGCCAATGAATTGCTTTTGCCCAGGTACCGATCCCATTGCAAGCATCACGGCTGGATCCCTTCTCCCCCATGTGATGCCCACCATTTCTGACAAGGGACCGCCTTGTGAAATGTGAGCCTCACCCGAATCGATTCGCATTGCATGACGTTGACCTTAAGCCCCAGAAGGATCCTCCTTTTTGGTTTAAATATCATCGCTTTGCCATAAGACTTGATGCTCTTTGGTCGGCTAGTGTTTGAAGGTACTGTTCGAAGGGACCGTGAAGAATCCTGACTGAGTCCTGACCAACATGAGGCCAAATGTGAGTGAACAACCACGCCCTCGTCCCGGGGAGGACAAAAGTGGATTGTTCAAGACAAGTTTAAACAAGGGCTTGAATCGCCCAAGCACACTCCCCCCCCCCTCAAAATTGAAGGACAACAACAACCAAGCAACAACAACCAAGCAACAGCAATTCAACAGCAAAACACAACAAGACCAGAACACACCACTTGTTTGATTGGGGGAGCTTTTGGGCCGTTGATGCCTCAATGCCTATCTTCTGCAGGAGCAGAGGCAAAAATGCGCCGTCTCCATCTTCGGGGAAGCTCGGCTTTTGGAATTTTGCTCTTTTGGGCTGGTTGCAAAAGGATGGGGTCTCCAAAAACATGTCATCTTTTGGGGTTGACTAAACATGGGTGCGCCTTTACATGGGGCATCCAGGTGAAATTGAGGTTTCCCTTTGGTCTCAATCTAAAAACAAAACGGGCACCCTCAAAAGCGCCTGGCCATATGTTTTTTTTGTTAAGCCCGACGTGCTTTTAATGAGGCAAGGAGGACACCCATGCGGCAACCGAAGGGAATGTGTATCTTACAGGGGAAATTTTAGGAGCCTCTTTTTAGGGAACCCCAAAATGGGCTACTGTTTTCCTTGTGGTTTCCCTGTAAAACCAAGCCCGAAAAAGATCCATCAAAAAAATGCAGAGCCATTTTAAGGGGGGGGGGCTCTGCTTTGAGCTTTAGCTGTAGAGTTGTCGGTTTTGTTTGTGCCGTGGCTTCAGCCTACGAAGTGCCTTTGTGAACAAGCATGCAAGAAGTAGACCAAGGTATGGGTCATGGACGCTTGGGAAAAAAAAGTATGCCAATAGTTTTTGGGCCCAATATCCTTCCATCGCTCAGAAGGCACCCCCCTCCCTGAGTTCTTTGGTTTTGCTTAGCATCCCCAGGATACAAATTTGGGCCAGGTAGAGAATGTGTGTTAGCTGACAAGGGGATTCCCTTATCAAGCAGGTGGTTTTTGGATGAATCCTTTAAGAACCACTGTTAGATCCGGGCTGCTCTGTTGTTCTTTGCCCATCCTCTTTGGGTGTCACGCAGAAACAGTCCCCTCGGGAGAAGGCTGATACGTCACGCGCGTCCCGTTAGAAACCTCAGAGGTGCCTTCAAAGTCTCGCATTTTGTGGGCGATTCTATTCGAACAAAACCTACAGCTGATGCGCGGGAAGTTCAAATTCAACCTGCAACGGTCTATGTCTATTGAATGTCTTGGGCCCCTGCCATTTTGTTTCACCAGACATATCTTAATGTTGACCCAGGATTAATGAACCCGTCCGATTAGGGGGGTGTCCCCTCCAACCAGGGATTTATTACTCCGGGGTTAACAGTACTCTCCGGTTTGTCGGCATCTGAGATGCTGCTGAACACCGCGCTGGGCATGGGCGCCATTAGCTCCTCCATCTCCACCTGTGCGGGCTCCATCAATGTGCCGGCCAACTGCGCCCGGGCCTCAGCTGAAGCTGATCGCTCCAAGTTTCCAGGGGAAAAAAAAAGAAAGCGTTTTCGGCTTTCGGGTGTTGGGAGAGGTGAAGGGTGTTTGGCTGAGTGGTGGTGTTCAATTGTAGATCATGGGCTCGAGCTGTGTGTTGGTTGTTGTTGTGTTGGCTTCCTGTTTCCCTGTGCTGTTTTTGGGGTTTGGAGAGGTGAAGGATGAAGGCGGGGATGTTTGAAGGGGACTGGAGCTTGATGTTGCTTGACCTCATTGGGCCAAATGGGATTGAGTAAGGGAAGCGAAAAGGAAACCGATTCCCATATTGGTTTCCGTTCCCACACCACCTGGACCCAAGAGAACATAGGTTTGATATTCTCTACATAGGCCCTTCGTAAAGAGTAACCACCGGGACATCCCATTGCTCCCTGGGGTTGTTTTGTGGGTAAGGCAACGAGCGGGCTTCAAGTAACCCGTCTGATGAGGCGGCGAACATCAACGCCTTCATTGGCCTCTTGCCAGCAAGCAAGGCCCGTTTGCCAAACGCTAACGTTAGGCCGATTGAGAGCTAACGGTCCTTTTGCGGGCAAGACACTCCTTGAATTGGCAACAGAAGTGGCCAAAAGTGGCGAATAGAGGCGAACAGTGGCTACTCTTCCCTATGTTTGGGATGCTCACATGTAGGAGTGCAAGAGTAAAAGGGTTACTCCGCTCCAGCGGTTTCGGCGCTCGATTCAGCGTCGATGGAACTTGGCCTTTACGGTACACGAGGCTTCCAGAAGGAAGACAAGCTCTTCAAGTGCTACTTGTTTTCATTCCCAGAGGGTCATGAGGATGGCTTTTGGGGGGTAAAAAGGGGTCTCAGTACCTGGTTACAAGGTACTTGGACCCTCTGGGATTGCACTCCCTGGTTTGACCATCGGGTGTGACCAGACACTGAGGGCGAAACGTTTCGGCTTGAGGCATGGATCAGAAGGCGCTACCATGCTTTGGAGTCTCGCATGGAACTGGATCCAATACACTGGGCCCCAAACTAGCTGGAGAAACATGGGCACTAAAGAAGTTCTTGTTCCCTTTTGCCAATGGAAGTAATGAAGCGAAAGAGAGTTTTGGAAGACTACCAACATTTTCGAGCGGCCCCCAAGCAGTCCAGCGAATTATGATTCGAGAAAATGGGCATTCGACTGTCTAACGTAGCTCCAAGACACTAGGAACTAGACTGGGCCTTGTTGCGCGCTTCGCGAGTTGGGGGAACTGCCCAACCTTCACGAGGAATCAGTCTGTCAAGGATGGTTATTCCTTGCGAGCCTCGAATTTGATTCTCATCCAGTGTATGGCCCTCCCAAACACGGAGTCGGTGGAGGATGCAAAACTCCTTTGGTTGGCTTTCAAGGGAACCCAAAGATAAAATGCATCCTTCCTTCCCTCGCCAAAATCATATCCGTTGAGGACATCATTTTAGCACATGGCCATGGGTCATAACCTATGCATTTCTCCATTTTGGGGCGGATGAACACCCATGGACCACCTATTTTGATGTTCACCAGGGCCACCAGGGTTTTTGACCTGTCCACATGGGGCTTTGGGAACTCCGTCTGATCTTCCTGCTGAAAACCCCACTGAACATCAACCAATCCAACCGCTAAAGTAGGTTCTAAAATGGGTGGTGAGTTCACCAATCCCAACCAAAATGGGATCCCCTTGGCTTTGACAACCACAGCCCCAAGGCAACTTCCTGCTGATCTTCAACACCGCGATGGCTGCGGACCTGGACTGCCCCCAGGACCCTCTGCAGGACCTGGGACCGAGGATTCGCTTGGACCCGAAGGGTTCCCATGGTGATGGCCCAGAGGGTGTCCGCGCCAATTTTGGGAACCTCAAGTTGGGGATGGTTTCGAGGGAAACCTGGGCCATTTCCCGTTGAACCTCCTTTCAGTGCAGTGAACTCATCAATTTCTGGTTTGGGGAAGTCCTTCCGTGACTGGAGCCGTGCCTTCTGCCCCGGCAAGGCCGCCCTGTGGACAAGGGGTTTCAATGTGAACATGAAAGCTGAGAACATATTATCGTGTTTCTCAACATGGGATTCGGACCACCGTTTGGTTGCTATCCAAAGGGAAACCCACAGGAACCCGTTGCCATTTTAGAGGATAAATTTGCGAACCCCCGTCAAAGGAACACCATTTGTCCAAGCGAGTGATCCCGGAAATGTGGCATGCTGGAACTTTTGTTTGGTCAGGATGACTTTATCGAGACACGTAGAAGGGGGGTCCTTTCCCAATTTCGGATGGCATGACCTACCTATTAACACTGCCAAAAAAGCGCTGCCCTGGCCGTTGCTTCTTCTTCTTCTTTTTTGTTTTACCTCAATGCCGAGCGCCGATCACCGGGGGGTCGCCTTCTGTAACTCAATGGCGGAAGTCTTTGAGATATGCCTAGGCACGCGGTCTGTTCAGCCCCCCGAGACACCAAGGCACCACACACACACACACAAACAATTGCCAAACGAGTATCACATGAGTCATAACTGAGTCATAACCAAACCCTGGTCACCAATGCTCAACCAAAAGCCATGTGAAGAAATACCAAAGCGTTCGCACCTGTTGGTTGGCTTACCCGGGCCTTGATTTGGCTTTCGTGTTCGACGGCAATACATCCCAGTTCCAGACCATAGGTGTCCTTTGGTCAAAATACTAGGTGCCCCAGTAGGGCCCTTTTACCCTTTTTTGGGGCAAGGTTCCCCTACTAAAATAGACTACAGAAAAATGGTCCCCTTATTCTAACCTCTCTACTGGAGGACCTAGTAAACCAGTGGAACCCATCTACTTCTGTCCCCAAAGCCCAACCCTGGGTTGACGAGAGCGCGCGAGCGCTCCTGGGGACTAAACAGGACCACTGCTTCCACTTGCCATTGGCAAGCATCCAAGGGCAGCCGCCACTCAGAATCCTTGCAAGGAGTACGAGTACATGCATGTATGTTGTTTTGTTGAATTACTGGTTTTTATTTATTTTGAAGATAGTAGTACTACTTTGAGCGTTGTTTTGAAGGGACATTTGTCGGGCAGCCCACCAAGTGTGGGGTCCCTCATTTTAGACTATAGAGGCACACCCGTATATATACTGTTTATGCGGGTATTTTTCTTAGGGCGGGTACCTTTTCGAAGTTTAAAATGGATACAACAGAGAAGCCAATTGGGATTTGCTTATTTTGAATCACACCCTACATACTTCTACGTGGCTTAAAGCCAAAATAAGTCATGATCACAAAGACGGCGTGTAAAGATGCCTGAGTGTTACCATATCGTCTCTTGTTCGCCCGCACCTTTGGGTATGACAAAATAGTGCCCGCCTCCCCCCCGAAACTTGCGAGTTTCCTTTTTTCCTGTTTAAGCCAGCATCAAAAGGGTCCCCTTCAAAAAAAGACAACATCATAGACTCATAGAGGTGTGTGGCTCTGCGCCGGCCGCGAGCCCTGGCAGGAGCGAGTCGATGCAAAGCTCAGCGATCTCGCGCCGGATAGCCTAGACTTGGGAAGCACACCCGTTCGCCGTTCTTTTGGCGTCAACGGGCAGTTGGTTGCTGCAATATTATCAGCTGAATGAATAGGCACCCCGGAGTAGTCAACCCCAGGTTTTTTAATGGGGTCTCTCCGGGAAGCATCACTTGATCCAGCGTCAACATTCCAGGTGCCACTTTCCCAAGATCACTTAGTTTCGTTGACCCATTGTAACGAATTGCCTCCATTTTGTTTGGGCCTAGGCTCAAGGTTTGCCTTCCTCTCTCTGGAGGGAATTTGGTCCCTTTGATTTCCTGGGGCTCCGAAGGGTAGCCGTCCAACCTAGACCGGAACACCGGTGGGCGAAGGCTCTGGACGTGTCTCAATAACTTGTTTTGCACATTTTGAGCGGATCGGCCGGTCTTCTGAAGTTCCACCATGTTGCAAGGAAACCAACGCTCCTGCTCCGTGGAGCAGATGTAGAAACGCGTGCAATCTGTCTATGTTAAACCAAACTGACACCTGTTCCATCCTTTGACACGCTAGACATTTACCGAACAGAGCTCCTGTTGTGTCGCCTGCACAACATCGCCTCAGAGCACGTAAATCAAAATCAGAAGATGATGTTTGAACCGTCCAAGAAGGGAGGCACACACCCTCCCCTGTGTGCTGGTTGCATAGGTTAAACCAAGACTGATGTCAATCAAGGGTCCGGTTTCAGAAGCTTGCTGTTGTTTTACACTTGGCATGCTCTTCTTTTGAGGTCCTTAGGGGCGGGCTCACGACACTCGCCACACCCGAGGAAAAAGAAGGAGGAGATTGAGCACAAGGTCACTGTCCAAGATTGGCGCTCGTTCGGATGGGTTCAGTCTGGTGGAGCGCCTGAGGATGACCCTCCTCCAGAGAGAAAAAACGGGCACCTGGGGGGAGCCAAACAACGGCAGATTTATAATTATGTCCGGACGGGGTTATTCGAAATCAATGCTGGAATCCATATCCCAGAGGGTCCAAGTACCTTCTAACGAGGTACTTAGACCCCTTTTTGCTTCCAAAAGCCATCCTCATGTACTTGACCCTCTGGGTATACAGGTGGTTTCGTTTGTGACCGGAAAGTCCGGATTGGCGTTTCGGGTTCTTTGCCCTCTGAGCAAGCCATGGTTTTTGCATTGCGGCCTCTGATGGAGCTTCCGTAGCTTTAGAGTCCACTGAGCTCCATAAAATCTGGGAAGATTGGTCGCTAGTCACTGGGCCGTTGAGTTCAGAGTGAGTAAAGTTCGGGATCCGGGATCCACACATTCTGGCGACTTGCCGGGTCAAGGGCGAATTCCAAAGGCAATTTGTTGAATACGTTATATCGGCATATGCTAGGGGGCAAGCAATTTCAATGTTGGTAGGCCGACATGTAGCAGTAAGGGCACTTCTTTTCCTTTGGGGCCGAGTTCCGCATGTTAGGGTAAGACGCTGCTTCCGGCAGCCCTGAACCTGTGGGCTGTTTGGGCGGGAAGGGGCCTTGCTGTTGGAAAATACTGACCTCCTAGGAAAAGCCTCGATGCCCGGCAACGCCAAAACATTACGTTACGTGACGTCACCCCCTGGCCCACACTAGCATTCACATCACATAATATGATCCCGCCCTTGATTCACCCTTGATTCTGGCCACTATGTGTGGGGACCCCTATTGCGTGACGTTCCCCCTACTACGTTGACGCCTAGTGACCCTGCCACTACAAGGCCGGCTAGGCGTGCCAACAAAGACCGTGGGTGATGCGTTGGGGTTTGACTGTTGTAGGTTGGAAGTTGAGAAATTCGCTGAAAGGGGTAACCTTGTCGTAGTTGCAGGAATAATGTTGTTGGCTATTTTATTAGCGAAACCCAGCATTGCAGCTGCAGAGGAGTGGCCGGTTACAAGCCACGTTTGACGGAGTGTTCTTGCAAGGTGGGCGAAAGAGTTCATACCACAACTTGGGAAGAGTCGTCAAGGTTTTTTCCTCCAAACCTTTATCTTCCCGGCGCCCTAGCAGGAATGCGTTTACGTGACGGCTTTTGCTTCCCCAAAAGTGGACCCAAGATTGGCGGAACTCCAAAGTACTGCCATTGTCCATTTGCTGGGAAGGTGCAAGCATTGGCTGTCGAGGGACGTTTGGCATGTGAAGCCTCAAGGCATTGCCCGAGAGCTGAATTTGCCAAGCGTAACTCGTTGATCCCGCCGGCAGGGACTCGTGCCAGTGAGGGGTGCATGAAGTTAAGACTCAGCAGAGGTTCCAATTCAGAGTGTCTTTTCTGAGGCTACCCTTGTGTGGGTGGTTGTAACGGGAAACCAAAAGGCAAACGAAACCATTTGTGTGTGTGTGTGTGCTTTTTTGGGGGCGTCCCCCAAAGAAGACACTCTTAAATTAAGTTCTTGCAAGAAAAGCTTTTCGCGTTTTGCATTGCCCCTCACCCCTCTCCCATCCAAGGGGACTCAAAGAACTCTATTGGCTCTATCTCTTGTGTAATGTGTTCATTAGTTGCTGTTTTCTGGACTGTCGTTCTTTTTGTTGTTTTGTGAAGGAGGGCTTCTTCCGTGGAGCTGCCGTTCCATTGGCTCAAAGCCGTTAGTGCGGCGATTGAAAAATAGACATGGATCCTGCTCGAATGCCCGAGGGCTTGAAGCGCTTCGTGCAGAAGGATGCGATACTGAAGGAGTTAGGGGAGGCGGCTGGGGGCAACCCTTTACGTGGGGGGTTGAGGGTCTAGTTGTAACAACATTTGCCCAAGCCTGGGTGGCAGGCGCTGGCTTTCCAGGGAATGCGCGGAAAGCTGGGGGTCTCTGAAAAATGAGCTCTGTGGTGGTTCGGAGCGGCTCCGGGTCAGGGTTCCGGAAGTGTTCCAGGGCTTGCTGTCGGGGATATCACCAGCCTTTTTTTTCGAGTATCGTGTAAGCCAGCTGTGTGATAGTTCCTATCATGTTCTGCCCGTGATGTTTCATTTTGCCCAGTAGAACATGTTTATTTTATTTTTTGTGTGTGTTTTTTGGCGGGGGGGGGGGTTACCATTTTATGTATATATATATATATATTATGAAAATTATTGCTATTGTTAGTATTAATTATTATTCCAACTAAGGTAACTTAGTTTACTTGTATCAAAAAGAACCAGAAGTGGTATTGTGTGTTATTAGTTTGGTTCTCAGTATTTGCATTCTCAATAGTACGATTCACATCGCTCAGCGCCCGACGTTTGCCCGCGCCCCCCCCCCCCCCGACCCGGCCCCTCGAACCCCGAAATTTCCAACCTAGAAGTTGTGGTGTCGCCCCCCGAAAACCGAACCCCCCCCAACCTCAAGAGTCAGCGGTGGTGGTCCCCCCCCCCAAAACAAAAAGAACCAAACCCCCCAGCCGAAACGGACTCAAAGAGACAGATTCAAAGAGCCAGCGTGGAACGCAGCAAATGAGGGGGCCACAGCAGCCCTGTCCTGGTCATCCAAGCCGGGATCAAGGGGGGGGTAGCTCAAGCACAGAACATCTCCGGCAGGCGAGGCTATATATAGAAGGGGGCAGTTTTAAGGGGGCAGAAAGTATCTCCCTTGGTCTTGAAACCTTACAAAAACCCCGCCCCTTGCCGGTGGGCGAACGTGGGGTGCTGTGGGAACATGTTTGCACTGATATTGTGTTGTTTTCTCTCGTGTTGTTTATATACCCAAGTTGTGAATCCGAGCGGGCTTTCAACGCTTCAGGTGGTGTCATTTGGGCACCAAGACTGGAAGACCCGGGAGCAGTTCATGCGGGGACACCAGAAGTTTGAGGCCACGTGCGCTCAAGCCCCCGGCCCTCTCTGTGTGCCTTGCTGGTTCTTCTGCTGCCCATGCCACACCTGGCTAGTTCATGACGCTTGGCGTGAGAAGAAACAAACACCGAAGCCCATGCGTTCCGGTCCAAATTCCTATTCTAACCTACCCACTGCCTAGAAAGGACGCGACCGCTGAGTTTTTCCCTTTCCCACTGGCCGTTGGACCTTTTCGCCATTTTTGGTGAAAGTTCCCAAAGGCGAAAAGTTTTGATACGTTTTTTGTGCAGGTGTAAAAAGGTTTGACCTTTTCCTAGCGGGTGTTTTGGGCAGAGGACGCCTTCTCCAAGAACGGGGACTGCGCCACAAAGGCATTGCAAGAAGCTGTCATAGCTGCTGCCACCTGGTACTTGCTGTTCCCACGGCATTTGGTTCTGGTGTATTGGGCCCCGAAGACGCTCGAACAGGATGAGGAGAGTCTGGAAGAATCTCAAGCTGAAGGGAATCCATCCAATGAAACCGAAGGGAATCCATCCAATGAAGCTGAAGAGAATGCACCCATCGAAACCGAAGAGGATCAGCCTTACGAGACAAATGGGGACAATGCTGCATATACCCGGCCGGAGTGGAATCCCAACTTCAAGCTCAAGAAGAACCGTGCCTCGTGCTCGGTGGCACTCTTTTGGCTTCTTTTGTGCCAGAAAAGTACGTCAGAAGTAGGTCAGGCAACCCGCCAGGTTGGCGACTTGGATTTGGAGTTGAACCCCTGGCTGTTGAAGAGGGTGAATGGTCAATAGCCCCACACCTGCAAACCACCAATAACAAGGAACACCTGCAAACCACCAACAACAAGGTGCAAACCACTAATTAGAGGAAACTGAGTATGGACCCTTTCTGGCATCCCTTTTTAGGCGGCACAAGGCGGCCCCAGGGTCCAACATTGGGGGGCAGTTTAACACTTGTCTGATGAAAAGCCTTTCTCAGCTGAGGCGTGGACAAGATCTACCCGCTCGGCGAGCTTTCGGAGGTGTTGTCAGAAGAGAACGTCTTTGCAAGGCATCAGCAAGGCGCATGGTTGAAAGCCAAGTTTTAGGCCCACACCCCCCTGAAAGCGACCAGGCGTTTTGGGGCCAGGTTTGGTGATACTCAAACAATCCCTTCAACAATGACCAAGTCAGAGGGATGGACTCGACTCGACCACTTGGGTCTCCTAGATTTCGTTTGTTCAGGTGTGACCGGGGGCTGCCAAGCCTGGTTTACGCCCAAAGTGCCTGGAGTCCAGATACAGGGCAAAGGAGTTGAGGGGGATCTCGTCCACCAGCACACGAAGCATCAGCAGGTCACTGTGAGCTATGGACGGGCATACGCGCCTTGGACATGCCTGAGATCTGACCCAGGCCTCACACTGGAAGGAAAAAGCATGCTGGATTGGGTGATTGTTGGATGTATGTTTTGAAGAACCTGCAAAGGAGCGGGATGAACAGCTTGTCGTTTGCGATCTATGCCCAGGTACATGGCGACATTGTCGGGAGCATGAAGACGGTGACGGCTGAAACAAAGCGACTGGAGATGCCCGCGCCGGAGCAGTTTGTGGAGGTGTTGAAGCGTCAGCAGACCTGGGCAAAGAAGACCTTCAGCTTCCTTAAGCCAGTTGTAAAAGCATTGTGTACGCTGTTTTCATGGGGTTCTATGCCATAGATAAATGCGTATACACTCATGCTGCTAGAGCCAAAAGCAAATGGGGGGTTTGGGTGCTCAGTTGTTCAGCAGGATAGTTTCCGACAGCAATGAGCTCAAATGATCATTCCAAAAGCGCCAAATTGTTTGCTATAAATACGGAACAACTGCGAATAGCGGAATGAGGATCTGATTCGCTTCCTGCTAAGCTGTATGGCCATTGTCGTTTAGACGGAGCCCGCATTTGGATCGTTTCGCCTTGCTGACATTTTTCTGGCCGGTGGCCGCCGTACACAGCCCGTATTTGTTCAAGATATGTTGACAAAAGCCGTAAATGACCTCGCCGTTTATTGTGGCCCAAGCATGCTGAAGCCGCATGGACCTTTCGAGAAAACGGCGCCAGATGTTCTTTGCCCCCTTTCGGCCGGTGATCTTTCCCCCCCCTTTGCGTTTTGTTTGCCGGGCTGAGGAACCCAGAGAGGCCCGAGAAGCCGCAGAAGAATCCCAAGCAGCAGACCATGGACTCGGATGCCGGCAGTTCATCGGATAAGCTGAGGGAGTTGGCGCAACTGAAGCAGCAGGGCTTGATCACGGAGGAGGACTTCCAGCAGAGGAGCCAGTTGGGTGGCTAGGTTTTTTGTTCTTCTCCTTTTGGTGCTTAAGGTCTATCCAAGTGGTGTTCACTGTGCAACGAAGACATGCTGCAAATGGACCCCCCGCCAAACAAAAATCGTGGCTTTCCTTTAAACCCAGGACTTGGAGCTCCCCCAACTGAACAGTTTCTAAGAGGACCAGCTTTGTCACATTTTCTGGCGAGGAAGAATCAGATCCTTGACTGCATCGCGGCTCCGCCTGGCGTCGCCTAGGCGATCGCCTTTCGAGGTGGAATCACATCCGTGGCACACGCTGTCTTCCCCAGAATAGGCTTCCCTGTTTTTTTCTGGGGGGGCTTTTTTGAGGCTTCCTTTGTTTTCCAAGCAGGCAAACAAAATCGTTTTTGCTAGGGTCCCAATTGTTTCGGGGTGGCACGAGTGTGGCTTGCCTCTCATTCGAAGTTGTTGCGTGGTGGGTGAAGCCACGTGTTGTGAAGTGCTCGGCTTGTCAAAACCAGCTGAGCGCTAGCAAAGGACAGAAGCTCACGAGGCCCATTTCGCCAGGCAGAGCACTGCAAATGCCAGGCATAACAAATTCCGACCCATGCCCACTTGTCATGGCTGCCAATACACGGAGCAGGTTCCGGGCTAAAACGCTGCGATCGGGGGAGCTGAGCCGCGGCTGCAAAATGAGAAAGATAGGTTCGTATGTCTCCAACGGGTGGGCCTTCCTTTTGGTAGTGACACAGAAACCCACCCAAATCGTTCCGTAAAGAAAGCGTCGAACGGTTCCCCGACATATGCCAAAAGTTTCACTCGCAAAGGATCGGCGAAACATTAGAAAAGGCAGCTGTGCCTTTTGGCGCTTTTCGGCCCGACATGCCGCTGGCAAGATTTGCTGGCGTGGCAGTGTTTTTCACGGCCCCAGCGGTTCAGTCTGTAGCAATTCATCAGCTTTTGCTTTTCCCTTATCTGGGCCGGGGGAGCGAGTTCCCTTGAACAACTAGCGGGCCGGGTGGAGTCCCACACGAGATCCGTGAAACGGATCCATGTCTTTCCGCTCGCTCGACAAGCTGAGGGCTCGATGGAGAAGACCTGCGGGTTAGGAGAGGCTTGGGTGAGCTGCAAACTTGTCGACTGCTACTGCTAGCCCATATGAATAGGATTTGTGGTTTTGCGTCACCCAGTCTAAACACAAAAAATACGGGTTTGCTTGGGGAAGGCCAAACTCGAAGGACTGGAAGGCTGCAAAAACAAGCCGGGGATGTCAGCCAGTTTGAAGGTTGAAACTCAGGACATTGTGACATGAGCTGGAGCGGTTCTAGCTTCAAGTAGAGAATGGGACAAGTAGAAAGGGGGGGTGATTGAATCAAATGTTGGCAGGGTGCTGTTGCATTTTGTTGGAAAGTGCGGGGCAAAGGTGTGTATGGCTTGACCCTGGACCGTGATATTTGGCGCTGTTCTGAGCAAATGAATGCATCAAACAAAGCTCTTCATACTGGAGGCTCTGCATACTTCAATAACTACTTATTCAAAGCTGACAGATTTGCCAGCGCTATGTCCTGCAAGGAAGTGCTAGTTTGAATGCCTGGCTGTTTGAAACCCTGCGCACTCAATAATAAATATATAGAATGTATCTCTCTCTATATATATATATATATATATTTATACATACATCGCTAAGGTACTCATACCTTCCTATGAATACATATGTACGCATACCACATACTACATACTGCATGCTACATGCTGCATTTGTTGATCTACATCACAAACACAAAATAACTAATGAGAATGACACTAATAACGATAAAAATACCAACTCTCTCCCTGGGTTCCTGGACTTTAAACTTTTTGGGAAGACCATTTTGGTGGCAAACAGAAAGTTTGGACTTTTTTGGGCCAATCCACTCAGGAAGTGTGACAACAATAATCATAATGATAAACAGCTAAACAAGTTGTAATCCACCTCTGCCGGCCCGCAGTTCTTTCACACTTCTCAGGTCACCAAGTTTCTCAAGGAGCATGGCCAGGCGGCGTTTCGGGGGTTCGTGGGATATATACGAGGCATGCGTTTGGGGTGGGGAGGGAATTCAGCTGGGGAATGTAAAAAAATGCCGCGTGGCTGGTGCTACCCGGGGTGAAGAGAGGATATATATATATATACTGGGATGTACTAGACTGATTTGTCCAAAACCCAGCTCTGTTGAGCTTCTGTTTGTTGTCTTCGTGTGAAAAGCCTGGAGCCCGACACAACTATGTTGAAGCGTTAAAACCGGCACGCGAAGGGTATAGGTAACCCTATCTTGATAATTTGATTCAGAGCTCACTCGCAAGGGCAGCGATTCCAACCTAGCGGTGACTGCTAGTTGCTATTGGCCATTGGGGACCATCATCCTCCCGTTCGCTGAATCTGCCATTTGAAGGTCACTCGGTTTGCCAGTGGGCACAATTTTGGAGAGATAATTGCATGCTGCACTGCATCCAGCATCACTCTTTCAGACATTGCACCTCTCAAGGAGGCTTTAAATTAACCTTTCCCGACTGTGATGGTTGAACCAAGGAACGGGAACATTTGCGCCAAGTACTATACTTCACCAAGGTTGGGTCAAGAAATTAGAAAGCACTTTGATCATGCGTGAGCTTGTTCTACCCGGAGCTCGCGATCATGCTGGTTTCCACTGGCCCCAGACCACTACATAGCCCTTGTTTTGTTGCTGAACCTTGGAGTTGTTGCCTCACGTTTGCTGCATCCTTGGGTCCTCCCTCCTCACCCCCGGCACCCCTCGTTGAAGGGGATTCTTGGGTTTCAAAAGGAGATCAACAGGAACGCCGGCAAGAGGCATGGCGGTTTGAACCTCACTTTCAGGATGCGGGTTTGGAGCAAGCTCCTTTGTAATAAATGTATTTGCAAGCTTCCAAGTTATATAATATATCATAGAACATATATATATATATATTTCCATACATATTGTATGCATACATAGGCATTACATTTTCAGGACAGGGGGACTGTCATTTTGGAATTTCGATGACCATGGTGGAGGATTCCTCTTGAGTCCACGCCAGATGAAACCTGAGGAAGACCTTCCATCGGACACCTTAAAAGCGGGTGGGAGAGGAACCTTGAAAAACAACAGAAGCCGTTTTGGGTGTGTCCATTTCGGCCCCCCTCCAAACTGGCTTCGGTTTTGTTCTTTGGGCTTTCCTATAAAACCCACCAACAAGGGGTATGGAGCCTCGCAAAAGCAGAAGCAGCGAGCTGCCTCTTTTGAAGGACTCAAAAGGGAAAGCTCCAATGCACTTACCCTGTCCTGGGTCAGACCATTTTTGTCAAGGGCCCTAAAGAGTTACATGCCTACGTGGGTGGGAGTATGTTTCTACTAAATACATATGGGACTCCGGCAGTTGCAAACACACCCATTCCTATGCGTATATTGGGTTTGTCCTTTTTTGGTGTGTTGAGTTGCTTCAAAAGGCAGAAGGTGGGACCTCCCCGAATCATACCCCCGAAGAAAACCCCGAATCATACCCCTTAAAACGTATTCTGCAAGATGCTACTGTTCTTCTACCGTTTTGTGTTGTTCAATGTCTCCACAACAGCCACCACCAGCGCTACCCAATACTACCACTGCCACTGCCACTACTACTACTACTACTACTACTACTACTACTACTACTACTACTACTATTACTCCAATTACTACTACTACTGCTACTACCACTATTACTACTACTACTACTACTACTACTACTACTACTACTGATACTACTACTACTACTACTACTACTACTACTACTACTACTACTGCTACTGCCGCGGCTACGAGTAAAACCGACTACCACTACCACCGCTACTACCGCTGCTACTACTACTGTACTGCTTCTACTTCTGCTTCTGCTACCCTTTCTACTAACTACTACTACTACTACTACTACTACTACTACTACTACTACTACGACTACTACCTTTATCACTACTACTACTACGACTACAACCTTGACTACTACTACTACTACTACTACCACTACTACTACTACCACTACTTCTACTTCTACTTCTACTTCTACTACTACTATTCCTGCTTCTGCTGCTGCTGCTACTACTCACTACTACCACATACATCATTCTGAGTCTGTAATCAGTGCCGTTTTGCACCTAGCCGAATCATACCCGCAAATCATACCCGAATCATACCCGGACAATGAGCTTCCCCTGCCAAGGCTAGTGCTAAGTCTTTTTCACAGCGTCCGCGCCACTACAGCCGCTGCTTCTTATGCTACAGCTGCTACCACTACTTCTGCAACTGCTACTACTACTACTACCACTACTACTGCTACTACTACTACTACCACAGCTACTACGAGTTTGTAATCAGTGCCGTTTTGCACCTAGCCGAATCATACCCGCGAATCATACCCGAATCATACCCGCGCAATGAACTTGCCTTGCCAAGGCCAGCGCCAAGTCTTTTCAAGGCTTCCGCGCCACTACAGTCGCTGTTACTACTACTACTACGACTACTAGTACTACTAGTCTTACTACTACTACTACTACTACTACTAGGACTACTGCTACTACTATTTACTACTACTCCTACTACTGCTACTACTACTCTACTACTACTGCTACTACTACTACTACTACTACTACTACTACTACTACTACTACTACTACTACTACTACTACTACTACTTACTACTACTACTACTACTACTACTACTACTACTACTACTACTACTACTACTACTACTAGTTTTGTTACTACTACAATATTTCTACTAGTACTACTACTTCGGCGACTACTGCTACTACTACTGCTGCTGCTGCTGCTTCCGCGAATCATACCCCCGAATCATACCCCGAATCATACCCGCGAATCATACCTGCGAATCATACCCCGTACTCAAACCTTTGCCCATATGTATATAGATTGACACACGAACACGCGTAGTATGGAAATGTGCGTAATGCGTACGAACAGATGTATGCTGTGCATAAATTGTATCTCTCTGTATTAGATTCATTTATGTATTACAAATAAGCAGACAAATGAACAAATATGTAAAAGTACATAACTTAGTATATTTTTTATATACACATGGGAATCAACGGCTTGAGGCGCCCGTCACATCTCTCGCTTTTCGTCAGGACGTGGCGGTGCTCCCAGGTCCGCCGGCGGTGGAGAAGAAGAAGGTGTACACATCCATCGCCAGCCGGGCTCTCAGACCCATGGGTCTGTCAGACAGCTTGAGGCTCGGTACCGGGACCCCCCTAATAATGTGCAGCACAGATCAATTTCGCGGACCCGGGATGGTGCTTCACAGACCTGGGAATGGTTTCTAGGTTATTTTTAATGCTTTGTTTTTGCCAAGAGCAGGGATGGTTCAGTTCGGCTTGAGTTGAGAACAAGCTTTCCATTGCACTGGGAGCTGTTCGGTGAACATCAGGAATTGACTTTTCAAGCCCCAAGGCCTCATTCTGGGCTTCATGCGGGGTGTAGCCTTTTTTGTTAATGGAATGACCCCCTTCTTGGTCCGTGAAAACACCCAACTTTCCCATCACGCTGAACGATTTTTTTTGCAGGGCCCGTCGTTTTGGGACGCTCGAGGCTGTGTGGCAGCGCTGGACTTGGCTACCACGAAGCCCGGCGGCAGCTCGAGTCGGACGTCGCATCGTTGTCGCGGAAGTTGCGATGGCGAGTCCCTCACTCCTCGAGTTGTTATTTTTGTTTTTTCTCTTTGGGATTGATCCATTTTCGTGGTAGACATGAAGTTTGGACTTGCTTTGGCCAAACCAATCAGGAAGTGAGCTTTGGGTGGATTGACTGAGGTGGGTGAGTAAATTTACGGCTCTTGCGGGCGAGTGAGGTGTGGGGTGTGCCAAAAAGCAGAGCACCATTTTGATACCAAAAGGAGCAAGGAAATGCAAGCCACAAGGAACATCAAAAGGATTGGACAATCACTAAAATCACTTTTGCAGCTTTGCCGAAGCCCGGCAGTTTCTGCAAAAGAAGAGCGCAATGAGGCCTTGTGAGGGCTAACTTTTGGGGGAAGCAGGGAGAGGGGAGGGGAAGGATGAGGATAGGTGGTTGAATCCAACGGAAGAAGACCACCCAGCCGCCCAGCTGCCATTCCCGAGGTTCGTGATGAAGTCGGGGGTCATCATCGCGGCCCTTTGGACCTGAACGGCACCTGGATTGCCCGGCCCGAACTGGGGTCATTGGTGGGGATCAAAATTAAGCCACCAGGAGATGGACCGCAGGTAGTCCAAGTTTCCTAGCCCATTTTTGGTACAGATATTTTTGAGCAGCCATTTTGACCATTGAATCGGTCAAAGTCAGCAACTGGCGGGTGGTTTCCCTTTAACCTACTGCAGCCAGTTCATTGGACCTGACAGCTATGATGTGGTTGGGTGCGAGGCGACACTGCTCGTGAATCGCGACGTCGCTTGAAATTTAAGCGACGATGGCCACGGGGAGTTCATTTTTTGCCTGGTGGAAGTGGTTTCTTTTGTTGTAGCGGTTTCCACTGATATATGGGTTACGGATGATGAATTCCATCTCGTTTTGAGAAGCCCAGGCATCCGGTTGTCAGAAGTTGAACATGCCCTGGCCTTTTGATCCAAGCCCCGCCTTCAAGCTGTTGTAATGATCGACGTAAACTTGGCAACTTCCCTTTAAGCTGAAGGGAAGCCCGGTCATCCAGATAAACGATCACTGGCGCGCTCGCCTGCCAGAAAGCTAAGCTCTCCCCATGAGGATTCCTCCCTCACGGGAGGTGTCTTAACTCATGCTGACGAGTTGGCAATCGGTGCAGAATGATCGACAGGCCAGAAAAGGGGCATACCCAAGTTCAGCCCCTTTTGCAACCCATGTTCAAAGGAACAGCGTCCAAATTGGGACCCCATCCAGAGAAATCTCATGGACCTTTGGTTTCATCCCGGCCAGGCTACAAGGCGTTGTCCCAACCATCCAAACCTCAAAAAGCAGCACCCAAACAACCTCCCCAGACAAACCCCCTCAAAAATTCCAGGTTCTTTCAATCCAAGGACAGTACTGATCACTGCGCGGTTGACAAAGTCTCAGACGGCGTTGGTGACAGGGAGGACAGGCGGATTTGTGCCTTGGAAAGCACTAGTTGGTCCTCCAATTTGAACCGCTGGAACGAACTCCTAGTATGAACCCCTGGTATGACCCCTGGGCTGATAGTGTAGTGTTTCATAGTAGTCAGTGATGCGGTAATTATTGCTTCAATATGCCAGTCTTGGGCCCAACATGGCCATGGATTCAACACAGTTCTGGACGTACACATTCGTCCTTCCATGTGGAGAAATAAAGCTGAACCCTTTTAAGACTTGGCTTCTAGACTAGGGGTTCCAAGTTCTCTTTCAGAGTCAGAGGCCAAGCCTGGTTGAAAACCCCTGATGAGGCTTCACATCAAGGCTATGTACTTTGGTTGCACAATGGTATTGAACAAAACACGCACTATGCGAGTGAAACCGAGCGGGTGGGCAACCCTCACTTCCGGCCGGTCCCGCACCGGTTCCGGTCAGGTTGAGAAGGAAAATCGCCCCGTGCGGGCGCTGAATAGCCCGCAGGTGTTCTTTGTCAACAAGGAAATCAACAGGGCATGGGTATGCTGCTGCTTTTAAAACATATTTTCGAGCCCCCCTGTTGTTCACTGGATACAAAAGAGGTCCAATTCAGTTTGGACAAGATGTTGCTGCCCTTCCCGAAAGTTGCAGACGGGAAACGGACGGACGGGAAACTGTCGGAATAAATCGGGCGACACCCAAGGCCATAGACTTTGCCTCGGGAAACACCAGGAAACCAAAATGAGGGTGTGTCTTTGTTGGGGAGCGTGTTGGTTGGTTTTAGGGTACACCAAAAGGAAACCAAGCTTTTCTTTGGGGGGATCCAACCTTAAAACATGCACACCCAAATGAGAACCAACACAGACACCGAACAGAGCCGAAAAAATAGGAAGCCAGTCGGAAGGATAGATTTGACGGCCATGTCTAGCTGAGTGTCCTAGACTTGTCTGTTTCAATCGTCACTCGTTTATCAATTTGCCGATTCAACTTGCGAGGCCTTCGGGTGGGGTGATGTTGGTTGGAAGTATCATTGGAATTCCGGCATTTCCAGACTTGCACCATTGGTGGAGGTATGGAAGCCAAACACCCACCATTCTTAGGAACGGAATCTCCTTGTGCACAACGGACCCCCTTTTTGGGTTCCTTCCCTTAATTTGTGGTGTAGTTTACCGAACAGCGGATCTTCGGAGCACCAAGCCAAAGCCGAAGCGGGTCGTTCCCAACCGAAAGCGGCAGGTTCGGTGGACATCATTGGTCTCATGGGCACCTTGAGCTTGGCCATCCGCTTCTATGCGCTGGCGACTGGGATGGGATGGGATGCATCGGATGCGAAGGGAGGGGCGGGCGAAGCGGGAAATTCGCGGTGCGTCAGGCCCGCTCGTGTTGTTGTTGTTTTTGTTTTTTTCAGCGGAAAGGTATCCTGGTTTGGTTGGCTGGTTGAAGGGGAGATTGAAAGGCCCAGTGAGTTTCAGTGGGTGATGCGAATCGGGGTGGGAAATATTGGGAGCCCTTTTGGATGACGGCATTTGCATAGAAGCACCCAGTATTGGTGGTCACTGATTAACGGAGGCGGTGTGAGGTCCCCTCAGTAGTCTCGTTTAGTATATGGCGTAATTAGTTTAGTTCGTATTGGCTTAGAGTTTGTTTAGTATTAGTTTGGCATTGCTTAGTGCTGCCTTCGTATTGCTTTATGCTAATTAATATCGGTCCTCTTCCTAAGAGTGTTGGTTTCGCATTGCTTAGTGCTGCTTAAATGCTGGTTTAGTATTGGTTTAGACTTGTTTGAATTAGTTTGGTATTGGTTTGGTATCAGGCTTAGATTAAACACATATTCATTTTGGGGGCGGACTTGTTTCTGGGTTTTGAATTGAAACAAAAGACAAACAATTGACAAAACAGGGTCACGTTTCCTGGCTGGGCGAAGCAGGGTATGTTGTCCTAGGTTCAAAGTTTTTCACATTGAGTACCCCTTTAATTTGGGTGGATTGAATCATTCTGGGACAACGTTGGTCTTCTTTTCATCGGAAACACCATTACGTTTGAATGGTTTCTTCGTTTTTTCCCGGCCGGACCCATTGTTCCAGGCATCATGCAAGTTCTGGGACACGACCGGTTTTGAAAAGAACGATAATAGAAGTAATAGAGCAACCGCAGAACGTAGATCAGGGGGTGCAGTTTTGTTTGCTCCCATTATTCCATAATTGTTTTCCGCTGGAATAGTGACGTACGGCTGCGGAAGGCCTTCAACTGAATTTTTCACGTGAGTTCTCTCCACCCAAAAATCCAACCTTGTATAGAGGTTGGAAACCACTCTTGCTTTTTGATGTCCTTCCCTCCCCCCCTCTCCCCCTCCCCCAAATAACTCCCACTCCTCCCCCCCCAAAAAATCAAAACAAAACACCCAATAACCCCCCTTCCCCCACCCAAAGAAAACAAGTAGAACGAACAAACAAGAGCACAAGAAGAAGGCTAGAAGACACCCCAGCTTGCCTTCGCCTCCAAAGAACCGTCCCCCGTCTGCTTTGCCTCAGCGGAGAGGCCGCCAACAGCTGCGTGGAGATCGTGGGCGACTCCGTGCCCTCCGCCTGCGCCGCCGCCGGCGCGGGGCTCTCCGCAGGCGCGGGCCATTCGCGGGGCGGGAATCGACTCATTCGCTGGGGCTTGGGGGAAAAGGAGCCCCGGAAACCAAGGCGCTGGGTGTTTTTTTTCAAGTTCCCTCGATTTTCCAGGTGTTTTAAGGAGTAGCTGGTTTTTCTTTCGAGTTCCAATTGGCATTTTCCCAGGTGTTTTAAGGAGTCTTTGGGTGTTTGGCTTTGTGCTTTTTGACTAGGTGCCCCAGCAATTGGTGCCCTTTCTCTCCCCTCTTTTGGTTGGGAGGGTTCCCCTACTAAAAAAGTTGGTGCCCTTAGTCTAATCTCTCTACTGGAGGACCTAGTGGAGTTCCTGGCATTTTCCCATGTGTTTTAAGGAGTCCCAGTTCCTTGAATGAGTATCACAATCAGTCACCAGCTGAACCATGAGTGGTTTCCGTGAAGTGGAGCCCAAGGGGTTCAGTCCCAAAACCTCTCAATGGATTCCCCACTGAGAAACAGCAAGGTAGAAAGCGGGTTGCTTTGGACCCATGCGTGACCAGATGGGAGTGTCAGTCCAACCATACACTTTTGGGGACAGGGAAAAACGGATGGGCAGGACGGCCTTTAATCCTAGCAGAAGGGAGCCCATAAAATGCGTTTGTTTGATTGGGGGACCGGGCCCCGTGTTGGACGACACACTGATATGTGCATGGGGGAAGTAAGACATGTCGTGGTTGCGCTTGTTTGCATAACATTCCCGGATTGTGCATGACCAGTTCTTAACGTCGAGAATCCATGCAAACGGAAGCTGTTGTGAGTTGGCAGGGACTTTCCCCCTGACTATCCGGCTTGTCTTTGCCATGATCGAATCGCCTGGATAGAGAGACCTTCTGGGTTTGCAACTGGCTTTTCCACCGGCAACAGCTCTACTGGACGACCTTCAAGCCACGTTCGCAGGGATTGAACCCCGAGACCGCCACAAACGCCCGTAGGCCGCCAACATGGAACCCACCCTGAAATCCCTAAGTAAAAAAAAGAATACTCGTCTTGCAGGAACCCCCCCGCCCCCCCCAGGACACCCCCCCCTCTCAGGAGCCCCCCCTCCCCCAGAACCCCCCCCCTTTCAGGAACCCCCCCCCCCCTGTTTGTGGACGGGCGTCTGATCTGTGGAGGAACCCCCCGAAAGGTTTTCTTCCGGGTCTTTTGGTCTCGGTTTGAGGCGTCTTCGCCACGGTGGCGCCGGCCATGAACCTCCAGGCATGCGGGACCTGGAGGGAGCTTGGGGGGGGGGGGGGTTGGTTGGGGTGGGGTCGGGGGGTGCGGCTTGGGGTGGGGTGGGGTGGGGTGTCTCTCGTGTTGTTTGTTCTGTATTCTCTGGATGCAACAACTATGGTTCCACCAATGGTTGTACTCTTTCGGCACTTTCCGAGTCGGAATCCTGCGGCATCCAACATACATTTCGATGGTCGGTGAGTGGTAAGAACAATCTGCTTTATACGTGATCAAGTCATAAGTGAGAATCCAACTTTGGTATCACAGACATATTTTTTGGCATCTCCCACAACCATAATCATAAGAATTAAGCTCAGCAAGTAGACACCTTTGCGAATCCCACTTCGGTTTCACACGGATAAACGTCTCAACCATGTCCAAACAAACATTTGCCCACACTTACTCGCAACACGGGTCCAATGTTGGTATATGGCCGTGGGTCAAAAGCCCGTACCCCCAGTGAATATCCCAATCCCCACTAATAGACTAAAATGGGTGGTGAATTCACCTACCCCAAAATGGGATGCCATTGGTTTTGGCCCACAGCCATATATATATATATATATATATTTATGTATCTATGGAATGGGATGTCCAGGCCTCCTGCGAAAAAGCGCCGGGATCCCAAGCGCCACGGGCGGCTGTCGGCGATCGGTTGCGGGCCGGAGTGGGCTCGGCAGCGGGTTCAGGTGGTGGTTGGCGTTTCGGTAGACAGTTGCATGGTTCAGCTGTTTGGTGGCTGGAGTGTTCAACAACGGCTTAGGCCAGTTGTCAAGCTAGGGCTCGGACCCTATTGGGGGGTATGTAATATTGAACGGAAGCAGGCAAGCCAAGAATTGGGCGAGGGTGTTTGATGTGTTTGCCCAGGCTTGAACATTGCCTTGGGCCATGTCTGAGCAAGTGTTTCTTCCAAGGCGACACGACAAAAAAGCGGAAGTGCCTGAGAGTTATTTGGTCGGTTTGTGGCAAGAGGCTTGGCGGGTAGCCTGCTTAGCGGGTAAACAGCCATAGACGCACAGCTTTCCAGGCCACAAAGGTCCACGCGTTTGTCATCTTCATGTACATAAGTATTTCGAAAACTAGGGGCACTAGATATTCCGGTGCATCAGAGAGGATCCATTTCCTATTCCACGTGCACTTATGTTTGATGCGGGTGCAAATTGTGTTTCTTTCGCTTTGAGCTGTGACCAAATGGGAGCCACAGGAGCCGCCACCGGACACTCCTGGCTCTCCTTGCGCGCACGGACTGCATGCCATGCGCACATACTCCAAACACCTGACTGGCATCGTGGGTCCCACGTCATAGGCCAAGAGCTACACCATATACCAAATATATGCTTTCATGGCTGTTGGGTTACGAAGCTTTGTACTATAACTTGGTGCGCAACGGTGGATGTTCCATTGGACCCACAAAAGTTCAACTGTTTGCAGAGGGGCCAACAGCAGCCAATATTATATATATATATGCTTAACATTAAATTATACACGTGTATAATATATATATATATACATGTACATATTAGTTTGCATTCAAATCTATGCTCTCCACTTTCCAAAGACACCCCACCATCCGCAGCCCGTAGATTCCATTTCCCGAAACCACGGTAGAGCCATAGTTCGGGTGATTCCATGTAGTCACCAAGGGAACTCTTGAAAAGCCAGGGTGTGGCGAAACGCCTGGGATCCACTGGTCTGGGCACGGAAGTCCCAATTGCCCGAGTTTTGAATGTCTCATGTCACTAGGGGCGAAGTCTTATTACTGGCTTACCCCTACTTTTGGTTGCAAAGTACTCCGGAACCAAGGGCCATCAGTAAATGTAATGACCACAATTTGAAAGGGGGTGATGTAGGGGACCTGAGTTCCAGAGTGGCGGTTTGTTTTTCCGCTCAGGCAAACATGTATAGATGTTGATATATATGTATATAATATATATATATATATATATCAATGCGGCACCTCACTGCAGTCGCGGAAGGTTCGCGGAAGGTTTGCGGAAGGAGTTTTTTCTCGCGGAAGCTCGCGAAAGGGAGCCCGTTTGTTTTGCACATAGTTTGATTTCGGTTGGGAGTTGCTAAGCACGTTTACTAGCAAACCGTACGCACGAATTCCCTCGAGGAAGCTCCCTTCCTCAGTTTCCAGAAGCAACTTGCCTGCGTAATAGAAACATGCTCGCGGAAGGTACCCTTCACAGCGCGCAAGCCTCGCGGAAGGTTTCGCGGAAGGGTCTGATACGTCAATATGCACTAGTTTAAAGGGAATGAGAAACCGCACTCCACGTTCTAATCAACCGCCTCCCTTCCTCGGATCCGTTCATTGAAACCGGCCCCCTTCACCGGTCACCGGATCCGTCGGGTTCGATGTGAGGTTCGCCCTTTGGGATCCCGACACCTGGCCGAGCGACCAGAACCTTCGCCAGAGCGCCACAAAGCAGGCGAGCTTTTTCTGACTTCCATTTGGTAAATAATATTCTTTTAATTTTCCCCTGTTGGTGTTAAAGGGAATCTACCACTACTGGAATTATGTTTTTATTTCTTCCAGGGGACTCAAGCAAATGGAGGCTGATCGGAAAATCGGATGGCTTTGGGGGGGTAAAAAGGGGTCTAAGTACCTCGTTAGGTATGAAGGGACCCTCTGGGTTGAGTCGTTTTGTGGTCCTCGGTTCCTTTGGTTTGTTGCTGGGTCTTACGTCTTCCTGACCTTCCGAGCTTCTGGGCTGTATATTTGCTGGCTTTGGAGCCGGTGTCTCAAATCCCGGGCGGAGCGGCGGTTTTTTGACGTGGCCATGAACAGAACCCAGTGATTCCATTTCTCTGTAGAATGTTGACCCCGGATGAATGAACCCATGAAACTATAGGGGGGGAGCCTCCAAAAGTGATGAATCCCCACTAGAACCAGGGGTACCCCCCTTATGTATAAATTGGGGTTTATTACTCCGGGGTTGTCCTTAGTTAGCAAGCAACCAAGTGAACCACCCTTTAAAAGCCAATAGGACAATTGCTGGTAACTGGGATCCCTGGACAATTCGTCTTTGAGTTGGTGGTTTGGATCTGAATTTGAAACCTTCTTGTAGAGGTTAATGAGGATTCTTTTGGGTTTGGACAACATACAGGGAGGTTGCAAGCGCCCTCCTTTTCTCCTAGGGCAACATCTCAAGATCCACGGACAGGGCTGATTCATCTTGCTCAGGCGTGCAAAGCATGCAAAGCGCAAGTGTCCGTTGAGCAAGAAACTCCAGGCGTCTGACTGAGTTTGGAACTTGTTTCTACACTGTCGGTTTGGGCCGTTGAGGGACCTACTTTGTTTCACCCTGGCCCGCAAACCGCCGCTATAGGAATTTATCATCGAAACAAAAAACAATCGACCTCCCTGCAAGCCCAGGAAATCAGTATCACAGGTTTTGCATTTAAAAATCATTCGCAGGTCCGACTTCAATGAGGGTCACAGCACACCCCCCCTACGCGCGCGGCAGTGAATTCGAAGCACGGTATTTCCTGAACATAGACACTGAAAATCGGGTTCAACCATGGCATGTTTGGGGTGCCTTTTGAGCTTTCGTTTTTTGAAAGCGCTACTCAAACGGCGTGGTGGACCCAAGTTTTTCCATCGCACTCTCCACGCTGCTCGTGGCCAAGCCAACGAACCACCGAGTCGGAGGTACAAACCGCGCGGCTTTTTGGCCCAAGACCCGAGAAACTTGCGGAAATTCCTCATGTCCGGTGTGTTAGTTATGGCATATTCTGGCATATAGGAATTTGCCCGGATTCTATCTTGTGGGCCCTTTTTGATTTCATGCATGGGGTCAATTTGGGCAAACATCGTCTATGAAAAGCGCAACTCGCCAGGCTTGTTTTTATTGCTGCTGTACCTCATTTCAGGATTGGCTTTGCGTCGAAGCCGGTTTCCCGGCTTTCCCCAAGGAAAACCGACCACGCGCTTCGCGCGTTTCGCGCGCTTTTCGCTTTTGAGGCGCCGAAGGTTCAGCCGGAAGACCAGGGCTTCACCGTGGTTGCGGATCCTTGAGGCCAGTAAATAGCCCAAATCGGCCGACGGGAAGCGAGAGTCCCAGATTGAAGCACCAATGGCACCATTCTGGGGTAGGTGCACCACCCATGTTAGTCTATTTTAGTGGGGATTGGGATGTTCACTGGGGGGTACGGGATTTTGACCCACGGCCATTTGACTAATCTGCCAGGTTGACTTGTTAGGGGTCAGTTCGGGTGTGAAGTTTTTTTTGGTGCGGGGCCTGGTTCGCAGTTATGTTGTGCCCTTCGAAGAGTGTGAAACTATTGGAGTCCGTGACTTGGTGAACCAGCACCCCCCGCAGCATGCAGCATGGAGAGGTTTAATGCCACTGGATCATGCGTTAGACGAGACACAAAGCCCAAGCAGCAACACTGGCCTTTGGGTAATTAAGACCAAACGCTGTCTTGTTTGAGGGAGCCCCCTTTTGGTTGGTTTGTGCAGTTTGAAGGACAACCACCATCTTCTGCTGTTTTGGGGCGGCGGGTTCATTCTTTGGACTTGATCATGCGGCGGCCTATGCTGAGGATGGCCGATCCACGATCCATGTGACATGGAGGAGCCCGTCTGCTTTGTTTTGCCCAACGAGCCTCAATGATTTGATTTGCTGTGGGTCAAACATAGGTACCCAAAATGGAACCCTGCTAAATGGAAACATGGACAAGTACCTGCGGTCCCTTTGCTTAATTTTGACCCATACACATTTGGCCGACTGGTCAATTACTAGGAGCCACAAAAACCGATGAACATGTCAAAAAAGATGCGTTTGTCAGGGTACGACATTTTTACAGGTTCTTGAAGCTCTAGGTATTTGAGTTTTGATGGACGGTTCAACCAATCAAATTCATGCCTTCAAGAGAGGGCGACCACTTTGGACTTGGTGCGAGTTGCATCAGCCCCCAACTCTGACCCTGGCGGCTTTTCTTGCGCCAGGTGCGACTGGCGCCGTCGAAAGCAGTCCTTTTTCCATGCGCTTGGCATGGGATGTGTGAAATAGTTCAACCCCAGTGTTTCCAGACATTTGGGACGTTGCAAAGGAAACATCCCGGAAAACGATGTCCTCCGTATTATTCTGTTTGTATATGACGCACCCAGATGTTAGTTCGCTGTGGTTTCCTTTGCACGACCTCGCTCTTTCGCCGGTTTTCACGCGTCAGAAGGCCACTTGGCCTCGAGGGACAAAGCTCCCCTTTTCGAGAAGAGACTCAAAGGCTGAGGGCCGCGGACCGGTTTCCGAGCTCGAGACGAACCCAAGCCGGCGAACATGAGGGGCAGGGACTTTCGTTCCCATCGTATTGGGGACTCACTGAACTTCCAAGCGGGCACTGGCATGTTTTTCCATGAGCCACATGTTCTGACTGTTGCAACACCAACTCGAAAGTGGTTGGCGGACAGTCCGCATGATGTCCACCAAAGTCCAACCAGTTTAGTTCATACCATACTTGTTAGAATGTGGTACTTGAAAGCCAGGTGAAGTCATGACCATCATCATCAGAGAGTAGCGCATGTAGCCAAATTTGCCTGTGGTTTCACCTTTTAAAGGCACCACGCACTTTTTTTGGTGGGTCGAGATTTGGGTTACAATTGTTTCAAACTGATGCACAAAGAACAAACATATCCTGGGTTTGCGGTTGAAGGTTGACCAAGTGTGGCCCTTTTGGTTGTGGTGGAGGTACCTCCACTGGCTTGAATCGGCCCTCCAGTTTCACAGAAGTGGAGAGCAGGGAAGCTGATGCTTCGCTGATTCCAGAAGACCTTTGGTGAACAGCGTTCCCTATACGGGAGTGTAGTGTTGAGATGGAGGCTGTTTTCAAGGGACACCAAAAAGGAAACGCACCCATGGCGGGTTTTCTATGGTTTGATATCCGTGTTTCCCTTTCAAACTGTTACATCGCCTTCGGCCTTTTGAGAAATGGTGAACCTAGTGCGTGAAGAATGCTGATTTTCCGGGCTGAGCTAGGACAACCAAAGGGACCCTGTTTCATTTCCAGACTTGTTGATCACTCTTTTGACCCACGTCCTTGATGTGTCCCGGTCACCAAGAAGCTACAACTAGGGCGGATCTACTTCGCCAAGGTTTCGGCAATCAGTTTAGTCACCCCAAAGGCCCACCTTTGACAGCGCAGGGCGCTGGAGTGTTGTTCCGCATAAGCATGGCCCCCTTTTTGGGGGCTTGGCATGCTTGCTTTTGACTTGGTAGGTGTTGGAGGGGTGGGGTGGAATTGTAGCGGGGGTGTCCCCAGGGTGGTTTAGTTCGTGAGCCAAGGCAGGGGACACTCACCAGGGGGTGCCTTTTCCCTCAAAAAGTTGTTGGGAACCGTCCCGAGGGAAAGGCGAGCCCTTTGATTGACGTGCCAAAAGGGGCGTCTCTTGATGGTATCTCTTGGTGCGGCTTGGTTCACGACGTCCTTTTAGGGTTCCCCTCTTTTGGTTTAAAGGGAACCCTATTTACTTGACATCATAGATCTCGATGATCTTGAACGTCCGCGAGTCGAAGATTCTCGCCGACCGCCGCCGACCTTTTGCTGCGATCGATGGGAATCCGAAGCCCCAAGAAGTTATGATGCCTTCCGTGTGCATTTGTTGGCTGTTGGTTCCAAGTCGGTTGTATTGATTTCCGAATTAGCTGGTTTTCCTTCTTCTGATTTTGGAATGAACTGGGCATGTTTGTTAGGTTCATTCTTATGTAAGTGGCACCGGATGGAACATGCGCCAGTCTTTGTAAACTAGTGGAAGCGACTCACAGGTGGCTTCAGCCATTGACGTTTTTGCTTCTGTTCTCGTCGGCACCCTCCTGGAGTCGAGTTTACATGTCACACGCGTTTGGTGACCAACATTGCAGACAACCAAGAGTCATAGGGCATTTGTTTCCTCCCAGCACATTTCTACCTTTTCAGTTGCCAAAAATAAGTTGGCGCCTCTCCGAAAATCGAGCGTTTCCCCCATGTAGGGCACCGTTGATTTGTCTTGGGCACCCCGCCTTTTGCCATTTGCGGCGTTTCAAGTAGCCATGGCCATGCGCTTCACATGGCCGCTGAGCTTGAGCTTGGCGCTGGCGGCGAACTTGCCGCAGGTGGAGGCGGCGGTCCCGGCGGAGTTCTTGGAGTAAGAATGGCTGTGCTGGGCAAAGAATCCACGGCTGCTTTCTGGGCCATCCACTCGGGAAGTGAGGCTGTGTTTTTCTTCAACAGTGACAAATCCCCACTAAACCCAGGCACACCCCCTTAATAAACAATCAGTGGGGGTGGAGAACTTTATAGTCTTGGCCCCCCAGCTAGGTGCCCTTTCTTACCCCTTTTTTGGGGGAGGGTTCCCCTATTAAATAAGACTGCAGAAAAAGGGGTACTCTTATTCTAACCTCTCTACTGGAGGACCTAGTTTCTGTGGATGGAAGAAATCCGCTCGCACCGCTTTGAAACCAGGGGAAACCATTGTTTGAAAATTACAGGGGGATCATCATTCCAGGGTTTCTTGGGTGGTGCAGGATTTCGTCCATCCACAGTAGGGTAACCGGGCAACCCCAAAATAACACCCTGGTAAATGGAAACAAGGGCTTGAACCTGCGGTTCACATCGCGGTGGCTTAAGCGGAATCTGGGAATTTCTGATGAACCATCAGGTTCTTTCCTTATTGCCCCGACATTCTGGGGATTCTCATGTTGGAGGGTGCTAAAGAAGTTGGAACGGGGTTGTTATAGGTACTTTCAAACCACATTCAGTCATGATCATGGGGCAATTCCTGATGTAGGCCTTATAGTATGTGGGTGTGCTTGTTTGCTTTGAAGGAGAAGCCGAACAGGAAAGCTGAAATAATTACTTGTTTTGGCCCGTGCAATCTTGATACATTCCCAATTTCAAGCGTTTTTCCCATGAGCACGAGCCAATTTGGATTCATAGCAACTACTCACAAGCCCATTCAACGGATGAAGCCGAAGGGCCAGACGAATCCGAGGAATCCCTTTCCCCAAAAGAACGACTTCATCTCCCGCATCCGTGATTTTTTTCCCACCTCTGGATACGTTTGGTCCTTTCGACGAACCCAAAGTTGCTGGCCTTGGAAGGCCGATTGGGATTCTCATGGAGCGCCTTCTTGGGGCCCGCGGGGCTCTCACCTATCAATCCAGTACCGTGACTGGGGTAGAGTTAGCATACTTTTTTCATTTACAAGTGAATTGAAGTGAAGCAAACAATACAATATACATTCTATAACCACCCCAGTCACCATTTTACAATTTACATTTATACATTCTACAACTGGGCCTCACTCTATGGTGACTGATCTTAAGTTTATCCCTCGGCTATTCCTGGGTGCCATATAGGCAAGAATTGAATGAAATTCCCCCAGAGGAAGCCCGAGAGTGTCCAGGCCCGTCTCTGCCGGTTGACATGTGTAGTGTTTTTTTTGGTATTGTGCCCCTGAGCCTCCCTTCATGATACACATTTCGAGTGCTTCGCAAAATTAGGGGTAGTTTCTGTTTAGTCCGCCAGCATCCTTCCTCCCTTTTGGGTTCAGCATAACTGATAAACCGGAAGCCCCTTTTTCCATTGGCCAACAGGCTTACAGCGCATAGCCCTGGCATCCGCAGGTGCAGGTGGAGATCGAGGATATCGAGGTCGGCTTGGGCACCTCATGTAGCTGCGCGCCATCTGCGGACGCCAGCGACCAACAGCTCGACGACATCCGAAATTGGAACTGTGCGCGCATCTACCAGGCGATCGGACCCGGACAGGGTCCGGCAGCCTAAATGTGCAAGATTCCATTCCGATTTCCGGAAAATCATTGTCCTGGGTTGCCAAAGCGATGGGGAAACCAGCTCAGGTAGACAATGGTGGTCAACCATGTAAATGGTTGGAATGCCAAGGTGTGTGTGTGTGTGTGTGTGTGTCTGTGTCTGTGTGTCTGTGTGTCTGTGTGTCTGTGTGTCTGTGTGTCTGTGTGTCTGTGTGTGTGTGTGTCTGTGTGTCTGTGTGTCTGTGTGTCTGCGTGTCTGCGTGTCTGCGTGTCTGCGTGTCTGCGTGTCTGCGTGTCTGCGTGTCTGCGTGTCTGCGTGTCTGCGTGTCTGCGTGTCTGCGTCTGCGTCTGTGTCTGGGTCTGTGTCTGTGTCTGCGTCTGCGTCTGGGTCTGTGTCTGTGTCTGTGTCTGTGTCTGTGTCTGTGTCTGTGTCTGTGTCTGTGTCTGTGTCTGTGTGTGTCTGTGTATCTGTGTGTCTGTGCGTGCGTGTTTGTTTTTGGTCCGAACCACTTGGCAAACAATCGCTTTCACAGGACCTCAAGCGTTGGTCAACCAAATCCAAACTACTTGAATGCGCGGCCAGCATTTGAACATGGGTTGTCCTCCGCCAATTAATTAAATTCAAGTCCCACGTCTAGAGTCCAGGGTTGAAAATTGGCCCAGGTGATTCGGATTGTCCCTTCCCCCAAATAGGAATGCTTTGGATTCCCTTTGCCTTGGGTTTCCGCGCCCACTCAACAAAATCGCACCCGCTCTGTATTGAACTGGCAGATTTGGCCGAGGGTTGGCATGCGGCTTGCGGTTTCGCAAGGCGAAGGCCGACTACGCCAAGCTGGCGACGCATTACGGGCAGGTGGGTCAAGCCAACAGAGCTGCTTTTGTTGGTCATGGCAAGGCAGCCGAACAGTTTTTGGGCTTCAGGCCCTTGACGTTCCCCCAAGAAGCCATGTCTGAGATGGGTGAGCTTCTCAACTGTACGCAGTGCTGGCACCCAGAAAGGTTTGCAGTAGGTAACTCGAGGACCCATGTTAAGTCAGGAAGAATAAATTGAACATGCAACTTTGGCATCCAAAGGACATCAACATGGTGTGGGGGTCCCCGATGGTCACATCGAGCTGGCAACATTCAGTTGGCGATCTACTTTTCGTTTGAGGACCAGAGGGGGAGGACCGCCAAAGGCACCCAAACAAAGAGGCTGATGGTGGAACTATAATATGTGGGTTGGTCGATTCGCAGCAAATGCATCGGACCATGAAGGAAAAACAAACCGAGTTGGTCTTTTTAGGCGGTTACGGCTTAAAAGTGCTCAACGTGTGCTTCCGCCTAACCAGGGGAACCAGACAATAAAACCAATGTTTGCCACGGCAATGTTGCCCTTATTCGTTCATTGTCCAACCACAGGCCAAAAGAGAGCACAACACCCCCCCCCCCCCAACCAACCCAGTCTCAACTTGCCCTAAAAACGGGACACTTCCGTTGGTTTCATCCCCTTCCAACCCGCCCACTTGTCGCATCACTGGCGGGGTCGGATCCCTTCGCGCCGCCGGTGCAGTCGGTGGACGAGAGTTGGACGCAGCGGCTGGCGCAAGCGCAGAAGCTCTGCGGCCAGGCGGGGCAGACTCAAAGAACAAAGATTAGGCCCCGCAGCCAGGTGCCCTTTCTCACCCCTTTCTTTTTTGGTTGGGAGGGCTCGATATTGGGGCTGTTTTGATTCTTTTGGGGGGGGGGGGGGAACCGTGTCGTTTTGTTTTTGTTTTGTCGGGGGCCGGGATGGGGGGGGAAGCTCTGTTTTGTTGTTTGATGGGGACGCGCTCTGCTGAAAGCCGAGCGCGTGCAGCATATCGAAAAGTGCGAAAAGTGTTGTTTGTGTTTTTTTGGAGGGGGGTTTGTTTCGTATTTTTTTGAAGGCCAGCACCTGGGGGACCCTTTGTTTGTGAGGGGGGGGGAAAGAAACGTGCTTTTTGTTTGCTTCTTCTTTTGTTTTGGGGGGGCAGTGGCAGTGGTTTTTGTTCGGGGGGATTCCTTGGCCAGGACACAGTCTAGATGATGTAACTCCTTAAACAACGTGGGCTATATTTGTTTTTGGCTACTTTCGTTTATTGTTTTGCTTTGGGCTGTTTTGTTCCTTAAACAACGCTGGCTGAAGCTTTGTTGGACGGATCGCACAGAGCCGGAATCAGCTACCTACTTGCCACAAGACAGATCGCACACGAGCGGGGTCTCCGTGCACCAGCCAGTCTTTTCTGGCTAATGCATACCCCGGATTAATAAACCCCCCCCCCCCCCAAAGGTCACAAGGTCAGGTCTGTCATTTTTTGAGGGCCCCCCCCCCCCAATAGTGGGAAGGGGAACCTTGTGGGAAGGTCAGGTCAGGGAACCTCGTGGGAAGGTCAGGTGAGGGAACCTTGTGGGAAGGTCAGGACCTTGTGGGAAGGTCAGGTGAGGGAACCTTGTGTGGAAGGTCAGGTGAGGGACCTTGTGGGAAGGTCAGGTGAGTGGAACCTTGTAAAAAGTCAGGACCTTGTGGGAATGTCAGGTGGGGGAACGTGGGAAGGTCAGGTGAGGGAACCTTGTGGGAAGGTCAGGACCTTGGGAACCTTGTGGGAAGGTCAGGTGAGGGAACCTTGTGGGAAGGCTTTACTAATGGGGGGGTGCTGCTGTTGCAAGTACAAAAGGAGCTGGTGTGCAAAAGCAGGGCATCAAACATGGTAGATTAATAGGGGGGCGCTGGCTTTACTAATGGGGGGGTGCAAAAGCAGGGCATCGACCGTGGTAGATTAATAGGGGGGTGCTGGCTTTACTAATGGGGGGGTGCTGCTGTTGCAAGTAAAAAGGAGCTGGTGTGCAAAAGCAGGGCATCAAACATGGTAGATTAATAGGGGGGCGCTGGCTTTACTAATGGGGGGGTGCAAAAGCAGGGCATCGACCGTGGTAGATTAATAGGGGGGTGCTGGCTTTACTAATGGGGGGGTGCTGCTGTTGCAAGTAAAAAAGGAGCTGGTGTGCAAAAGCAGGGCATCAAACATGGTAGATTAATAGGGGGGCGCTGGCTTTACTAATGGGGGGGTGCAAAAGCAGGGCATCGACCGTGGTAGATTAATAGGGGGGTGCTGGCTTTACTAATGGGGGGGTGCTGCTGTTGCAAGTAAAAAAGGAGCTGGTGTGCAAAAGCAGGGCATCAAGCATGGTAGATTAATAGGGGGGTGCTGGCTTTACTAATGGGGGGGTGCTGCTGTTGCATGTGCAAAAGTTGAGCAGGTTAAAATTAGATTAAAAACGCATGATGTAGCGGGGGGTTTGGGGGAAGGGAGCTTTAATAGGGGGGGGGGGGGGGTTCGGGGAAAAAATGTTATTGTGGGGGTGCCAGGGCAGATTTCTGGGTTTCAATTAAAACGAGTATTGCCGAGGGATTTTCAAGGAAAACCAGGCGCTTTAATAGGGGGGGGGTTTATTAATCCTGGGTCAGCATTACAAGTCTTAGCGGCCAGAACACCCTCCCAACTGTTGGAGCAAGAGTTTCCTCACCGAATTCCGATATCCGTCAGAAGGGTCCGCCGCCACGTCCCAAAGTAAAGCAACCGTGATACGTAAAATCGGCAAAGAGAACTGAAGTTGTTTTTCCCTTCGTTTTCCTTTGATGTGTAAAGCTTCAAAGGAAGTTGATTGAAGGGAATGCCCTGTTTTGGCTCCGACCCTTCAGCAAATCCTGTCCTCCGCAGCTTGACATGGAACCCGGTCCCGGTTCCGGGTCTTAGCTCCATGTCCCAAATTGGTAAACTGAGGTCAAAGCCCCTGGTGTGTCTCCAACCGTGTGTGACGTTTTTTTGAGGGACCCCTACAAGGAATTGAGCAAAAGAAAGGGGTGCCTCGAAAAAGGCACACCCAAATCTCATTGTTTCCCTGTCTCTGGCACAAGGGATCTCTCGAGGAAATCGAAGGAGCCATAGGAACCCTCAAAGCAGGGAGCCCATGTGTTGAACCCGGAAAAATCAGCCTGCTGAAGGCCCAAGGAGACCCTCTAAAATGGGACTCGCCCGGTCTCTCTTCCAAACATATTGGGTCTACGTGTGACACCCCAAAGGCCCCCCAAAATGGTTGAGGGGATTCCCTAGCCAAGCTGAAGGGTCACAAACAACGACGCAGCATGGCTTGGCGCAGAAGGTTTGGTCGATGGAATGGCATGGCGTCCGCAGGCGCAGAATGAGACCAATCCTTTGACGGCCGCCAGCACTGCATGCTGCGCCTGGGGCGATGTCCTGATGAGGCGAGACTTGTTTCTGTTTTGCTCCACAGTTGGGCTTCTGTTCGACAGTTGGGCCCATATATCAAAGTCACGAAGGGGTCGAGTCCCCTTTGACTCATCGCAGATACACAAAAACGGGGTTCGTTGCCCAAGCAAAACCAATGGATTCCTGGGTTTCGGTGGGCCGTTCAAGTGGACCGGTCTTGATCAATGAACCCCTCACGACCTTGAAAAGGTGACCCGTTCAAGAGGAAGAGTTGGCTTGGACTTCTGTTTGTCCAAGCCGTGAACGGTCTAAGCTTTCATCGCCCACATCACGGTTCGACCGGGTTTTGAGCACCGGTCAGCAAGCGGATACATCAATCGATCATGCAACTGTTCAACATACCTTTGGACAATACCCCATCCGTTTGAATCGAAGGGGCTGGGATGTGCCCCAAGGGTATGGCTGGATGGATCGATCGATTGCGCGCACTCGCCAGTCACCGAGAGTGCTGCAACGTGGCGGGCCCGCCCTACTGCGTCAGCAATGCCAAGTCCAAGTTGGGCAGATTTTCGGCGCAGGGCTTAGCACTTTTTGTCAGCTCCACCGATGTGTTTCTTTTTCCCGGTAGAATTCAGTAGTCATGTTGGCAGTTTGCTTGTTGATCGATTTCTTATTTCAGGCTGCTGAAATAGTGTCAATACTGCGAATGATTCCCCAAAAAAGGATCCAGCTACCTTTGTGCAAGTGGGACATGCATGTGCGCAAGATGTGCCAGAGAGTTGACATAAGAGTGGGGTCACTGTTTGGACTGGGGGCTAGGTCAGCAGCTGGGGCTTCCCTTTCACTTCCCACAGGTGACTTTGGTGGTAGCATGGGTGTGGCTCCAAACAGTGAAAGCCGGAAATGGAACCAAAGACCAAAACCTGCGGTTTGCCCAGGCCCTTGAATTTTGGTTGCCACACCCAAATCAGCTTCTGTTTGAACCGACCTGTTGGTTGACGTTGCATGTGCCAGTACCAGCGGGGCTCGCTGTGGGGCGAACAAAACAAATCGAGCCATCGAGCCATCGAGCCATCGAGCCATCGAGCCATCGGTGAGAGGTGCTTCTGGCGACATTTCTAGCAGCGGGGCTGGCGGCACTTTGCCCCAAGTGCTGCAAACAGCTTCTTGGTTCGAGTCGACTTGAACCCGTGAGGAGGGCAGAGGAGCATATTTCAACACTCCATGCAACATAGCAACATGGAACCAGTTTTGCTCTGGTTGAAACGTTGGTATGCGCTGGAAGAGAGTGGGCAACCAGTCTTTTTTCCCCAGTTTTACATCATGGGTTCTCTTGGTTGCCTGCTATACCGGTAGCTCTATGGCTTGGGATAATCCAGAGAGGCTTGCAGTGAGATCCTAGGCATATGATACAATCCGGCCATCGTGGCGCCCGTGTTGAGGGTACCGAGCATGTTGGCGCTCGTTTAAAGCGACACCAAAGAGAACACCTTTTGGGCGCACGCACACACGTGCGCACACATGCGCGCGCACATACACAGGCACAGGCACACGCGCACACTCACACATACAAACAGACACACACACACCCACCCACCCACACGCACCCACCCACCCACCCACCCACCCACCCACCCACCCACCCACCCAGCCACCCAGCCAGCCAGCCAGCCAGCCAGCCACCCAGCCACCCAGCCACCCAGCCACCCAGCCACCCAGCCACCCAGCCACCCAGCCACCCAGCCACCCAGCCACCCACCCACCCACCCACCCACCCACCCACCCACCCACCCACCCACCCACCCACCCACCCACCCACCCACCCACCCACCCACCCCCCCACCCACCCACCCACCCACCCACCCACCCACCCACCCACCCACCCACCCACCCACCCACCCACCCACCCACCCACCCACCCACCCACCCACCCACCCACCCACCCACCCACCCACCCACCCACCCACCCACCCACCCACCCCACCGTCCGACCGACCGACCACCCAACCAACCAACCA